CCTGTTGTAGTACTTTAAACAAGTGCTTTCTATCCTTCCAAGGTCAGTAAAAATGAGTAGCCAGCTTGCCGGGGGGGGGGCAATATATAGTCTGCATAATTAACTTGTAAACTGCCCAGAGAGTGCTTGAAGCACTATGAGGCAGGATATACGCATCATACTTTTTTGCTTTTTAAACATGCCAAAAAGAGGGATGGGGAGGAAGGAGAGAAGAAAAGGTCTTTACAAACAAACGAAGGTTTGAACTAGTTGCTGCTTTGGTATAAGAGGACCAGGAGTTTTTTTTAGGTGAAATTTTTTCAACCATTATACCTTTTGGACTGAAACAACAGACATACTTCAGGGCTTTTATTTTGGAATTGCAGACCACAAATTCAGGGCTATGCTGTAAGTGGACTTGATTCCCTTTCAGACTGGTCTCAGATACCCGCCACCCACTTTTTAAAATCCCAGAAATCACTGTTTTGTGAATTACTTACAATCTGTTTATTTGTATGATTTTATTTAGTTATTTATTTATTAGATTTTTATCCCACCCTTCTAGACTATGTCTACTCAGGGCGGCTCACAATAAAATTATTCATAAAACAATTAAAACCATTAATTAAATCAACAATGCTAGCATTGATCAAGATGGAAAAGAGAACAAAAGATTAAGTAAAAGTAAGAGTCAAGTATTGATAGGAGGGAAGGCCTGCCAAAAGAGCCATGTCTTTAATTGGCTCTTAAAAACACCCAGCGAGGGTGCCAGGCAGATCTCTGGCGGCAAGCTGTTCCAAAGCCGAGGTGCCACTGTCGAGAAGGCCCGGTTTCTTGTTCTTTCTTTCCAGGCCTCTCTCAGCGTTAGGCCCCCTCAGCCATCTTTCCTGGCTATAGTGAGTGACACAAGTAGATCTAGGTGGGAGAAGGCGTTCTGCTAGGTATCAAGGTCCTAAACCGCTTAGGGCTTCATATGTCATCATTAACACTTTGAAATCAATGCGGAAATGAATGGGCGACCAATGCAGAGTGGGAGAGATATGCTGGTGTTTTCTCATTCCACTAAGTAATCTGCCTGCCGCATTCTGCACCATTTGAACCTTCTGCATCAATCCCAAAGGTAGCCCCACGTAGAGCGCATTACAGTGGTCTAATCTCAAGATTACAAGTGACCAGAGTGGTGAGGGCCCCGCCATCAAGATAGGAATGGAGCTAGGCAATCCGCCACAGATGGTAATAGGCAGAGTGGACCACTGACACCACCTGGTTATCCAGGGTGAGCGCCGGATCCAGATGTACTCCCAAGTTGCGAACTTCACTCTTTGTGACGAGAGTCACCCTCCCCCCCCCGAAGGAGAGGGAGTTTCCCAAGCCGCCAATGGAGGGGCCACCCACCCTCAGGACCTCCGTCTTGTTCAGGTTCAGCCTCAACCCATATAATGATATACAGTGGTGCCTCTCTTTATGAGTGCTCCGTTTGACGACAAAATCGCATTACATTGAAGATTTTGTGATCGCAAAAGCGATCGCAAAACGATGTTCCCTATGGGGGAATTTCACTTTGCGATGATCGGTTCTCCGTTTCAGTTTTCGGCCAGCTGATCGGCGGTTTCAAAATGGCCACCGGGTGAAAAACATGGCCGCCCGCTGTTTTTCTGGCACAGATTCCTCGCTGCATGCGCAGCAAAAATGGCCACGCTATGGAGAATCTTCGCTGGACAGTGAGTTTTAAGCCTATAGGAACGCATTAATTGGGTTTTAATGCGTTTCTATGGGCTTTTGAAAATTGCATGATGACGTTTTCGTTCGACAGCGATTTTTGCGGAACGAATTAACATCATCATGCGAGGCACCACTGTAAATGATATCAAAGCTATTCCTATAAGCTCTGGTCATAACCCTCTGTTAAGACTTTTACGACCCTAGTAGACATATCTGATACCACCCATGATACTGAGCTTGCTTTCTGTAAGGGAAAGAAAAGACAACAGAAGGACAGCCAACTAGCAGAGAATCTCTATTGAATAACAGGAAGTTAGCAAGTGTGAACCCCTGGCTAAAGTGGTAAACTGAGGGTGAAGTCCTGTACCTGAAGATGACACAATGTGCAAAAGCCCAGGCCTTAAGTGCCATTCCCCATCCAGCAACCACATAAATTAACTTCAGAATTATAATTATCCCAGATTTCTATTGGAAATTAACATAGCTTCTGACTAAGCCTATGAATTTGTGACCTCCAAAATATCCTATAATTAAGCTCAGGACTTGCAAACTCAAGGTCATGGCTTCCTTTATGGAGCCAGTCCACTTCCTATTTGGTTTTCTTCTTTCCTTGTTGCCTTAAACTTTTACCACCAAGTCTTGCCTTTTCATAACAGGCCCAAAGCACAATAGCTTCAGTTTAGTCATTTTTTACATCTAGAGAGAGCAAAAAAAGTTGCATTTCCTAAAATTCACCTCTCTCAACACACATATTAAAATAAAAGCTACCATGAAGCATTGTAAGGTACAACATTTTTAATTTAACTAATAAAGCTATATGCAAAGTTTGCAAATTGGCTGTTATACAGTCATGACCAAAAATAGTGGCATCCTTGCAACTCTGCCAGAAAATGCAACCATTCTCTCAGAAAATTATTGCAGTTGCAAATGTTTTGGTACTCACATGTTCATTTCTTTGGTTTGCGTTGGAACAACACACACACACACACACACACACACAAAAAAAAACAGAGAAGAAAAGTCAAATCTGATACAATCCCACACAGAAACCCAAAAATACATTGGCCAAAATTATTGGCACCCTTAACTTAATAATTGGTAGCATCCCCTTTGGAAAAAATAACTGAAATTGCTTCCTGTAACTATGAATGAGTTTCTTACACCTCTCTACTGGAATTTTGGACCACTCTTCTTTTGCAAACTGCTCCAGGGCCTTCAGGTTTGAAGGATGCCTTCTCCCAACTGCAGTTTGGAGATCTCTCCACAGGTGTTCTATGCCGGGATTCAAATCTGGACTCATTGCTGGCCATTTCAGATCTCTCCAGTGCTTTGTTTCTGGGTGCTTTTTGAAGTGTGTTTCAGGTCACTGTCCTGATGGAAGACCCATGACCTCTGGTGGGAACGCAGCTTTCTGACACTGGCCACTACGTTGCACCCCAAAATTCTTTGGTAATCATCAGATTTCATGATACCATTCACACAGTCAAAAAACCCACGTGGGAGGCAGGGAAAGTGCAAAATTTGAACTTTCAGTTAACTGTTGGCCAGTGAAAAGGGTGCCTGTCTGCTTCCTCACTCCTCCCAGCGTTTAGAGAGTGGATTGGGAGACAGTCTTCAGACTGCCTGGTACTGCCTGGTACTGCCTTGACTGTATTTTCCCTGGCTTCCCTGAACCTTTCTTGACCTAAGAAAAAAAGAAACAAAATATCCCCCTCTAGTGGTCGAAGGCGGAATAGCAGCTTCCCATTAGTTTCTATGGACGGAAAAGAGCAGATACGGATCAAATGGTTTTCAATGCATTCCTATGGGAAATGCAGATTTGACCTGAGAACTTTTTGACTTGAGAACCGCCTTCCAATACGGATTAAGTTCTCAAGTCAAGACCCCACTGTACTTTTTCTGTAAACAGTGCCATGATGTTCTTCACCAAAAAGCTCTACTTTTGTCCATAGCGTTCCTTTTCATTCAGATAGTTACGAATAGTAGCGCTGACACTGTTGTACCTTGTGTCTGCAGATCATCTTGAATTTGTTGGGAAGTTAATCTGGCTTCTGTATTCACCATTCGAACAATCCTTTGTTGTAATTTTTCAGTCATTTTGCTCCTCCATCCATGTCCAGGGAAGTTAGCTACAGTGCCATGGGCTGTAAACCTCTTGATGATATTGCACACCATGGACACAGGAACATTAAGATCTCTGGAGATGGACTTGAGATTGTCAATGTTTTTCCACAATTTTTTTCTCTCAAATCCACATACAACTCTTTACACTTCATTCTTTTCTCCATGCTCAGTGTCACACACAACACAAAGGTTGAGTCACCTTTTTTCCATCTTAACCTGTTCCAAGTGTGATTACTATATTGACCACACCTCTTACTTGCAACAGGTGTGTCTAAATGCAAATTAAAGGAGCATCACATGCTTGAAGAGCAATCATTCCTTACAATTTAGACAGGGTGCCAATAATTTTGGCCAGTGGATTTTTGGGTTTCTGTGTGGCATTGTATGAGATTTGACTTTTCTTCTCTGTTTGTGTTGTTCCAACACAAACAAATGAAATTAACGTGTGTACCAAAACATCTGCAACTGCAACAGTTTTCTGAGAGAAGGGTGCATTTTCTGACATAATTGTAAGGGTGCCAATATTTTTGGCCATGACTGTATTTAACTATGATTTTAAAATATCCTAACAATTTATTTTAATCACATATTACTGGATGTAAGTTTCTTCTGATACCAAAGTGCAAAAAAAATCATAGGCTATTCATAGGTAAGGCAATTTACTCAAGAAATTTCTTTATGCAGAATGCTCTCAAATTTACTGAATACTTCAAAACAGGATGTTAAACAGAATAGTGCAATTGTATCCAACAGAACCAGCAATATACTATGATTCGCCACAGAAAATCACAAAATTTTTACTGATCTATTTATTAAAAACCCTAGGGTCATTAAAAATCACCAGTCATAAATTGTAAAGCCAAGCCACATTTATACATCTTCCTGTTACATTGTTTTAGTCTATTGCTTCACAACAAATCAAACAAAGGGCTGTGAGAAGGCTTTATCTTTTGTAGAATCAAAATATCCCTTAAAATATTTACATTTTACAATAAAAAGGATAGTAAAACACAATATCATGTACAAGCTTAGGTATTCAAGTTTTCAAAGCATGAGAAATGGTCTGAAAATTAATACAAATCATAGCATAAAGGCTAAAAGTGGAACAAAAAAAACCCCACCCATTAGAATAAGTGTACCCATAAGCAGTAAGGTTTGGACCAAGTAGCCTTCTAATTTCTGCTCACAAATTGTTTCAGATGCATAGGAGCTATCCAAGGATCAATATCACTCTTTTTGCATGGTGTTTTTCTGTAAGCCTTTAGCACAGTTCAGCTTATGCCATATGTCACATTCCCATGTGGATTAGGAGTCTATTCATTAGGACAAAATAAAGTCAGTAGAAGAGTAAATGCTATAAACTCCATCTTTATAATTAGCTGGAGCATCTTCCAACAGAGAGCACGAATCATCAGAGGCTGCATATATCTCAAATGAAGCCAAATTTGACAAAGAACCTTTTATAGCATTGTAAAGTGTGCTGCTTATTGTAAATGAAAACTCAAAAAAGAATCTTGACTATACAAGTAACGCAAATTTTTGAACTATTCAGTTCTATGTGCAGGTCTACAAAACGTGAAAGAAAATGAGTAAATGGTAAATGGACTGGTACCAAACCAGACTTGTTCTTACAAAACACTAAACATTGAATATATGGCACAATTATACCCAAGCATATATTTTTTACAGAATTTTAGGACATATTTAAAATGGATTATTTCCTAGTCATCTAAAATCTTATCTCCTCCCTCACCCCCATCCCCTTTTACCTTTTGTTTTTCCCTCGGTCCTCATGGTCCCTGTCTTTGTGGTGTCTATCTCGATTCTTTTCATTATCTCGCTCTCTATGCCTCTCCCTACTTTTTTCTCGTTCTTTCTCCTTCTCATAACTACGATCTTCGCTTTTAGGAACATCCTTCTTTTCAGGATTCCTACTCTCTCTCGAGAACTTGCCTTCAGAGTCCTTCTCACTATGTGAAAGTCGTGACCGCTCTTTGTCACGATAGCCTTCCTCCTTGCCTTTTCTCTCTCTCTCTTTATCTTGGTTCCTGTCTCTGTGCCTATTTCTTTCAGAATCTGGTTCCCAGTCATGCCTGCCCTTTTTTGAGTGATGGGATTCATTGTAAAATCTTTGTCTGTGCTGATCGCTTTTTCTCCTATTGAATGCCCTCTCTGTTTGGGGGGCTGGCCGACCCCAAGGGTCACTGTGACGCCTTTGTGGTCTCCTACTATCTTTGTTTTGATAAAAGTGCTCTGGGCCTGTAAATCTTGACTGTTTGTGAGCTAGGGGTGGTGCTGGCGTAACTGGTCCAATAAAATGTGGGGGCTGACCGGACAGATGAAGCACAGGGGGCCAAGGCATCAAAGGGTTTTGAGCAAAGCCAAAGCCTGGAGGAGGAAGGAGCGGAGGTGGCATGTGAGATGGGAACCCAAATACAGGGTTGCTTTGGGGAGGAAAGTTAGGGGCAATAGACCCTTGAAACTGAAAACCAGGTGGGTTAGTTTTAGTGTGCTGGAAACTGGGCTGTGGAGTCCTGATTGGTGAGAAGTTTCCACTTGAAACAGGACTGGATATTTTGGTACTGAATTCAGTATGGCAGGGATTTTCAGTCTCAAACTGAGATGAAGTGGCTGAAGGCAATAATCCTCTTCTAACAGAATGTACCGTCTCAATGCTTTGCAGCAGTGCTTCTTCCTGCAACTGATTTGCATCATCTAGCTCCATGGAGCATACACTATCTGCTTTAGAGACAACTGAATCCAGTGCGTTCTTGGATGCTTGGCCATCACTCTGATCTGAGTCTACGTCATTTCCTGAAGGCTGGTTACAATCTGCTTTCGTCTGCTCTGCTTCTAAAACATCCAGCTGTTGATTATTTTTAACTTCTTCATTTTTAATACTATCACCTTCATTTTCCAAAGCACTATTCTGTTGTCCTCGTCCAGCAGCCTGCCTTGGATCCCTTTTAATATTAATGAATGGTGGCGATTTTGAACTATTACTTGTCATCGTATCAACAGACAATACACCAGCGTTATTGCTCCCAACTCCTTTCTCCATGCTTGATGGGAGAGGACAATTTATGGTCCTTTTACCTTCCTGAGAAACATTATCTGGCTCACTCAATGTTGGGCTGTTTTCTGTAGTCTCTTTGGTTTCTTTGTTTTGTGACAAAAGAGTCAGCTTTGCTAAAAATGCTTCAGTAGAAACATCTGGTGGTTTCCCCTTAAGACTGAGGCTTGTGAAGTTTCCCGAAGAGCATGAGACATCTACTACTGATGTATCACTCACTATATTGTCTATGGAATCTTCAGAATTGTTCTTCTTATCCTTTGTTTCTTCAGTTTCAGCAGTTATTCCAGGAATGTCCATTTTTCTTTCTGGCGTATTCGTATGGTTATCTGATAAAAGTAGATCCTCACTAGCAATCTGGTCTACTGCAGGTTGGGTATGTTCAGGCATCTCCCCTGTAGTATCCAAAAGGCTCTGAAGGATGTCATCTACTGGTAACGGTTTACTTGCAAGCTCGAGAGCAGATGATTGATTTTCCCACCCAACTAAAACTCCAGGAAGGAACCGAAGAGGCTTTGGTGGTTCAAGCTTGATGCTCTCAGTAACAGGGTCACTTGCCGTTACCTCTTCAGTACTACTCTGTTGTGACCTGATCCTTTGTTTGTGCAACACAGCTGTGAAAGAATTAAAGAAGTCATTTTCTTCTTCCTCTTTTTCTACTGTATCTGAATGCACAACCTCAGATTTGATTGGTTTGCTTTTCTTTTCTGGAGTCACAATTTCATGACCTTCTTCAACGTGACCAACAGCAGCACTGATCTGTCTTTTAAGCTTCTGGCGAATGATCAACCCCAACAACAAGTTGGGTCGGTGCACTTCAATTCCTGTATTTAAAAAAATCATAACAATAATTAACAAAAACATTGTGTCATTCCAGGGAAAAGCTGTTTCAATCAAAAAGTTGACCTATGTGTCTGCCATCTTGAAAACCTTTAAGTGGTTCACAAATGTCACTAACTGCACCAGAAGCACTAATCAAATTGCCCCTTATGTGTCTTCTAAGAATTGTTAATGTACAAGTGAAATTCATACCCTGCAACATAATTAGTATTTGCTAAATCAAGAGTGTTACCTTGAGTCATTAACTAAAAGGAAGTAGCAACGCAAGCTGAGTGTGGGTGGGTGCGTCTACAAGGCAATGCTTTGTACTTAGGGAGGCTCATTTAGTTGGGTGTTTCGAAGAATATTCTCCAAAAAGCTTCAAGGTATTTAACGTTTAGATCATTAAAACATATCTCAGCAGTTTAAAATGTTAAAAACAAGTTATCTGTCACAAACAACTCCTGGGTCCCCAAAACACGTTTTCATATAATGTTTGTTACCTACCAGGACCATCAAAAGGCACCAATTGATGTGGAATTTTATCAGAGGCACCTAATGGGATAATATATAAATCCTTGATTTGCTTCATGTTATTAGCTGCTACACCATAACGTTTCCTGCTGCTGAAGTATGCAAATAGCAGGGCATATGAAATCTGATCTTCTTCTGTCACAGGGGTAAAACGAACCACACAGATTTCCTATTGAGAAAAAAGGAAATATTTATTTACCATTTGTAAATACTTCCTTAAAACCCAAATATGGTAATGAAGGAAGAAAAAGAGATTTCCAGGCAACCATCAAGAACTTAGGGTAGCTCAGCAGGTTTAACTATCTGGGAACCGGAGGTTGGGAGTTCGCTTCTTCACTGTACTTCCTTGATAAGGGCTGGACTCGGTGATCCATAGGGTCCCTTCCAGCTCTGCAGTTCTAAGATTATTACTATCTCTATTTTCTTAGATATATGCTAGAGGTTCTTTCTGGTCCCAATAAACCCAAAGATTCAATCTCAGTGTATGCACCTAGAGTTAAAGCAGCAATGCTCAGACAGCCTAGAAACTGCCTGCAATTCAGGCAGCTGCTTTTCTCTATGTAGAGAGAAGTCTGAACTGTGCAGATTTCAACTCCTGGTATGTTTCAGAAGAGGACAGTCTTAGCTATCACAGAGCAGCCTGAAGGACTAGAAACATCTCCACCACTTTGGTCACTGCTGTTAAAAGCAAGACCAGATGGTCAGTCCAGCAAACCATTCATGGAAATGAAGCAATCTCAAATAACGGTCATGACAGCTTGCTCAGCTATTTTCACCAGTTATTCACACTATAACCTGGAGATCTGCAACTTTAAAAAAACAACCAAAAAACAGCACATTTGCATATAAGCAACAATATAAAATCAAGCCCAAATCATGTGCTCTGAAAAGGTGGAATAACACTAATGGAAAGTCTTGTGTTTTGTTTTGAAGGAAAGCACAATTTAAGCTGCCCACTCCAGGGAAAAAGCATAGCTTAAGCTGCAACACTGCAGTATTAAGAAATGTTTTTCAAAGATCACCTGTTCACCGTTTCATAGTTTCTGTTTTGTTTCACACTACGTGTCTCACTTCTTCCCTACAGCATGTGAACTGTAATATTTTTTTCCACTGTGGATCTTTCTAGTCTTCACATTTATGGGCATTGTGTAATATCCACCTACTTCCTTATCACCAAAGAGAGATCAATTCCATTAGCCTTGTCATGGGCAAAAGACTCAATTGCTTCTGCATCCTGTACGATGCTCAACACAGTTGTGGCAAACTTATGTCAAATCACAAGAACAACAGTGTGAATTCTACACCTTTAACAGTCAAGAAACATTTATGTGTCAGTATAAGAAATATCTATCTACCCATATTATGCTTGAAGAACACATTTGTCTTTACCTTTGTCCCTGTGGCTTTGATTTTGTCAACATATTCCCAAACAGTCTGAGGTGATATTCTACCACCTACTTGGATACTATCTGGCAAATCCTGTGGGGGAGGGGAGAAATTTTATATTTATCTCTATTGAAAAGTAATTGATCTTAAAATGAGCTATATGTTAATATCTTAAAGCAGTTAAACAGAGACACTGTTATGAACTTTTGTTTTTACAATTAAACTAGAATAATCCATATAACTGATATGATTTATAATAAAAGACACAGTGCTTCAAAACAAGCTGAGGAGAAACAAAATTTCCACTACTAATAAAGCATAATATTTTACTAAATGATACCATTGAGCCAATGACCAGACTGAAACTAGAATTTAAATACCATCTAAAATGCATCACCATCTAAAATGTAAGGTCACGCCAGCAGGCAGATTGCATGTATTGAACTGTTTTAATCTAAATCTTCCATGGAAGAGAATAAATGGCTCTTGGTGGTTTTACATAACCACATCCAACATTTCATTGATCTTGGTAGAAAGAAAAATCAGATATATCTGAATACTAACAAGGAAGTTACCTCTGTTAAAGTGTCAAATGAGCCAGAAATTGGGTAAGCCTTGATAACAAACTTTGCAACAGACGGCATGTTGATGAAGCCTTTCCAAATGAAGCTCAGACGTGCCAGAAAGAGTGTTTCACTTTCAACAGTGCCAGGTGTTTCTGATCTGAATAACGAGAGTATAAAAACATTATTACAAACCACTGCTTCTATGAGAGGAGAAGTGGGAAAAACAGAGCAAGTTCTAGCACCACAATCTTAGAATAAGTTTATGCAAAATTAGTAGGCAAGTGTAAGCTGCTTGGTTAAAGCTACAGAGGTGGCCGGCTGAGTATATCCTGTGGGACAAATGCTGCATGCAATATTTGCATGGAGACAGACTCTCCTTGGTGTACCCACACAAGCACAGTAAGAATTTTGTGTCTCAACCCCCTGAATCTCCTGGGATCTTAGAAATAAAATGTCAATGCCTAGCAAACATCCCGTATATGCAATTTGGAGAACAGAATACAAACAGTTAAGGGAAGGAGACTGGGAAGATATTGGTTGGTGAAAGAAAAAGAAATGGAGCATCACTTCTGGAAGGAAGTGTCTGAGGACCCTTTTGTTCTAATGTATAAATGGGAATGATGAGCCATATATAGGAAGTATCCCAGAAAAAGGCAACTTTCCAAGGTAAAGAGACCACACATTTAATAGTTTAAAGGACAGTTTTGTTAGTTGCGGCAAAAAGAATAGAAATCCACATGATGCATGTTGACAGAGTGAAAGGTTGATAGTGGTTGATAAACCTTAGGAGCCACTTAGCCATATTTGGGGGAAAAGGAAAAAAGAAATTACTAACTGGACAACCATGGGCTGAAATAGTGCCACATGAACTTTGACGGGTTCATAAAGTCAATGAAACAAAAACTCTTTGCTCTTTAAGGATAGCAAAATCTAAGACAGTGGGCAAAAGGCAGGTATTTGCATCACTCTGAAACCATTAGGGGATCCCATATCCTTCACATTAGACCAAGAGCTAACACTGATCAGCCCTAGTTCTGCTGGATTTCAACAAAATTGCTGCATCACTGAGGTCACATCTGCCATTTAATGGGATAGGTCTAATCTTTAATGCCACAGTCCATCCAGGATGCTCTTGAGGTCACACAACTGCTTTTCTGAGATGCCACAACTGGAGTTAAACTCTTTCAGTCCTAGAAAATTAAGATTCATTCTTAATTTAGTAACAAAGGGGGAAAAACAGCAACAATTTGTCATGTGAAGCAAAGCTAAGGTTTGTTTTAGCAAATACATAAAAGACTGAAGTATCCGCAATGGCTAAACAGAAGGGGGTGTGTCTGGCATGGGGGCTTTTTCCCTTCAGACAGCAGACTCCTATGATCCACTACAAATTGCTTTTTAAAATGTTTTCAGGTTCAAAGTGTTGAGCCACACAGCATTGTCCAAGAAACAAATGTTCAGTGGTTTCATTTCAGAACTTACTGCAGTTTAAATCTGTGGCTCTCAAAGTTTTAACATTTGCTCTTCTCAAAGAACCAGAGGGCCATCGTGGTGAAAACAAAAAGCCCAATTTTCTTAAGAAGGGTATTTTTACATTCACAGGCATGATGTTATATTTGTAGTAAGATTGAAAGAGAGTGACTTCTCCAGAGATGTTATAGAAACCTAGACTACCCCTGGGGTCCCACCAGCATCATGTACAAGTGGAATGCAGTAACACTTGATTACTCTAATGCTGTAGCACCAGCCATCATATAAAATAAAAGTGTGCTTTTTCAAATACCAAACACACACTGCAGCAATGACTAGAAACATGAATTTTAATGGTGCATGTATAGGTGGTGTTCCTCAAAAGCAGAAACTGTAACTGCTTTGTAGGAGTGAGGAGCAGCACACCTGCAAATGAAATATAGATTCTGCTTCTCTGAGACATTATTAAATGAGATTTCATATATTACAGTCGTACATTCCACTCGCTCTGGAAACTTGAGTGTTCTCAATTTTCCCTTCTGTATGAAACATTTCAGTACCTATCCTTATGGGTTGAAACTTCCTTCCAAGGTATCATAGCAATATATTTCAAACTACGTGACTGCATAAGTGATTTCAATTTATTCATGCATTTAGGGCAAAATAGCAGCAAAGGAACAAGAGTGATAATTCGTGCATCTAGGAGCAATCACACAAGATTACCTAGAGCTTGAAGTGGAGGTAAGTGCTGTATTTGGCAATTCCATATCTTCTTCTAATAATTCTGAAGCCAACATAGTTGTCGTTGAGGAAAGTGCATCTGCTATGCTCTCAGCTTCGTTATCTGAGGGTTTACGAGCAACCCCAACTGACACTTTCACATTCTTTCCAGAAAGGTCATCACTGGGTGGTGCCATTCGACCTTAAAAAGGCAAAGTAAAAAAAACAAGATTAATTTAAGAAAAGAAGAAGGCCAAAGACATCAAAAAAAGCCCTGTTCATAACATCAAGTGACAAGCTACAGTATAACAATTAAAAACCCCTACGAGTTGAAATAAAGAATAGGAACTCTGTGCATTTCTATGATTTGAAGCAAATAGCTCAACTACAGTATTTTAAAATCATTATTATTTTATTTATTTATTTTATGTATATCCCGCCTATCTAGTTACTTAAGACCACTCTAGGCTGCTTACAACAAGCGTAATACAAAATAATTAAAACAATTTTTAATAAGGGGAGAAACTTTGGACGAGATGGAACAGACACTAGGAGAGAGGAAAAAGAGGGAAGATCAGGAGTTGGCTGAGGGGAAGGCCTGCCGAAACATCAGTGTTTTTAATTGTTTTTTAAAAATACCCAGCGGGGGAGCCACGCGAATGTCAGGGGGAAGGTTATTCCAGAGGTGAGGAGCCACCGCCGAGAAGGCCCGATTTCTTGTCTTTTCTTTCCGGGCCTCCCTCGGC